GAGACAGATTCCCACTCTGTCGCCCAGGCTGGAGTGCAATGGCACAATCTCGGCTCACTGCAACCTCCGCCTCCCGGATGCAAGCGATGCTCCTGTCTCAGCCTCCCAAGTAGCTGGGACTACAGTCGCGCACCACCACACCTGGCTAATTTTTGTATTTTTAGTAGAGATGAGGTTTGACCATATTGGTCAAGCTGGTCTCAAACTCCTGACCTCAGGTGATCCACCTGACTTGGCCTCCCAAAATGCTGCGATTACAGGCATAAGCCACCACGTCTGGCCGGGAAAAATATTTTTAAGATTCCAAATGGCCTGTTATAAATCCACTCAACTGCCCCTCACTTCTACTCCCCTCCTGGGACAAGGTCGAGCCTGTGTCTTTCCTGGCTCATGGTTCTCAGAAAAGCAGGCCACCTAGGCTGAGAGTGGTGGCTCACTCCTGTAATCCCAGCACTTTGGGAGGCTGAAGTAGAACTGACTGAGCCCAGTAGAACTACTTGGGAGGCTGGGCAATAAAGCAAGACCCCTCCTCTACAAAAAAAAAAAAATAACAAAAATTAGCAGGGCATGGTGGCATGTGCCTGTAGACCTAGCTACTGGAGAGGCTGAGAGGGGAGGATCCCTGAGCTGAGGGGTTCACGGCTGCAGTGAGCCATTATCGAGCCACTGCACCCTAGCCTGTACATAGTGAGACACTGTCTTGAAGGAAAAAAAAGAAAGAAAAACTGGACCCCTGAACCATCAGTCTTCACCTCCACCCCTGGCTCTGCAGACCAGCTTAGGTCAGTGAGGACGTCAGGCAACCCCCCGCTCCCTGCCACTTCTTTCAGGGAAAGTCACAGTGGTGCTGTCATAGCCACTTCCAGTACCCTCACCCAGACTCACCACCAGTGGCCAGGGCACCATGTACAACTTCATGTGCAGCTGAAACAGGTAGAGGATGAAGAAGACGATTGTCACCAGCCAGAGGAAGACAGCGACGAACATCACCCAGCCATAGGCCGGGTACAGGTGGTATGGGGTGTCTGCAATCAGGGCCCACACCAGCAGCCCCAGCACCTAGGAGGGTCAGACAGGGCAGAGTCGGTCAGGGATGTGGTTTCATTTCTCATCTAGCTAAGAAATACTGGCCAGGTACAGTGGCTCACGCCTGTAACGTCAGTACTTTGGGAGGCCAAGGTGTGATAATTGCTTGAGGCCAGGAGTTCAAGACCAGCCTGGGCAACAAAGCAAGTCCCTATTTCTATAAAAAAAAAATTAAGGTCTGGTGCAGTGGCTCATGCCTGTAGTCCCAGCAGTTTGGGAGGCCCAGGTGGGCAGATCACCTGAGGTCAGGAGTTCGAGGCTATCCCGGCCGAGATGGTGAAACCCCATCTCTACTAAAAATATAAAAATTAGCTGGGTATGGTGATGCATGGCTGTAATCCCAGCTACTTGGGAGGCTGAGGCAGGAGAATTGCTTGAATCTGGGAGGTGAAAGTTGCGGTGAGCCGAGATAGCACCACTGCACTCCAGCCTGGGCAACAAAAGCAAAACTCCATCTCAAAAATAATAATTTAAATAATTAGCCAGGTATGGTGTTGTGCACCTGTTGTCCCAGCTACTTAGAAGGCTGAAGCAGGAGGATCATATGGGCCCAGGAATTAGAAGCTGCAGTGAGCTATGATCGTGCCACTGCACGCCAACCTCTGAGACAGAGTGAAACTGTCTCAAAAGATAGAAAAAATTTTAAAAAGAAATGCTGATTTGGCTCCTGCAGTATACCACTGTGCTGGGGCCCTGACCTGCACGCTTACACCTCTTCCAGGTCTCAGCTGAGATGTCAGGTGGTCCAGGACACCCCCATGCAGCCAGCCTGCATCCCGGAGCCCTCTTCAGCGCTCACAGGGGCCCCCCCTCAGGCACCCACCATCCAGGGCCATAATCGTTCCCTTCCCCAGACTGCGAGCTCTGCGAGGGCAGGGCTGTGGCTGTCACAGCTGCGTCCCCACACACAGCACGGGACCTGGGCCCTGCCAGGGGCTCAGTTAAAGCTGCTGAAAGGAAGATCAAGTCACCAGAGCCCCAGAGGCAGGAAAACAACAGCCCTGTGTCCTCCCTCCCAGCTGGGCCGAGCAGAGAACGTCACAAGGGCCTCTGGGTGACCTCCTGCCTGACACCCCACGTCTCTGGCTCTCCCAGATGCCCTTCTTTACAGGTGTTGCCATCTCACAGGAAACTGGGCCTCTGAGAAGCCAAGGGGCCTGCATGTCACACCGTTCCCACGTGGCAGGATGAGTCCAAGCATCCCAGCAGAGTGTGGGTAGTGGGTAACAGCACGGACTCTGAAGCCCAACTGCCTGGCTTCAACCCCGGCTCTCCTTACCAGCTGTAAGGTTATGCACTTGGCCTTGGACAAGGGCATAAACACCCTGCGCTTTGGTTACCTTGCTTATCAAAGAGTATAATGACCATTCCTACCTCACAGGGCTGCTGTGAGGACCTACAAGTTCATGCACATAAATGATTGCAACAGAAGTGGTTTTTTTTTTTTTCTTTTTTTTTTTGAGACGGAGTCTCGCTCTTGTTACCCAGGCTGGAGTGCAATGGCGCGATCTCGGCTCACCGCAACCTCTGCCTCCTGGGTTCAGGCAATTCTCCTGCCTCAGCCTCCTGAGTCGCTGGGATTACAGGCACGTGCCACCATGCCCAGCTAATTTTTTGTATTTTTAGTAGAGACGGGGTTTCACCATGTTGACCAGGATGGTCTCGATCTCTTGACCTCGTGATCCACCCGCCTCGGCCTCCCAAAGTGCTGGGATTACAGGCTTGAGCCACCGCGCCTGGCCCAGAAGTGGTTTTTAAATTATTCTTCTTCTAGGAGTCCAAAGTGGACTGCACAGGCCCCAACTCTTGCAGCCATAGAGAATCCTCTGAGGGCAGGTTTGTCAACTCACCAGCAGACTGTCTCGGGGTGCAGCCCAGCAAAGGGCCAGCTGAAGCAGGGACCAGCGAGCTCGTGGAGGCCCCTAGAGGCACCTCGCATGTGGCCGTCCTGGGCCTCCCCAGCCCCTCCTACCCCTTGCTGGCGGAGATGCTCTAGGTTGGAGTATCCTCCCTTCTCCATGAAGGCAATCTCAGGTATCCCTAGCCATGGAGGGGACATAAGGGTCTAGCTTCGGAGAAAGGCTCTGTGGCCAATCAAGACACACAGAGGTGTCCTCTTTTTCCCCTGGTCAGCACCTAGGTACATGGCCCCAAGGCTGCACAGTGACCTTAACACCAGCCCAAAAACAAATCAGTGGGATCAGAGAAGCGGCTGGAGCAGGACCCGCCTCTGGCTGCCAGGCTTTACAGAGAGAAAGTCCTCCTGGCCATTCCCAGCAGCCGAGGGGCTGCCACCAGCGCCCAGAGTGCCTGAGGGCCCGGGACCAGAGCACAGCCAGAGCTGGGTGCGTGTTGGGCACCCCACCCCAAGGCACCCCCTCTGAGGACCAGAAGGGAAGCTTCTGTGTATCCGGATCCCTCCAGACGCAGAGACAAGACTGCGGGCCTGTAGCTGAGCTACAGGGAGACCCTTGGCCCTCACAATCCTCCTCCCTCTGACTCCTCACCAACCCCCAGGGGTCTGGCTCAGAAAGGGTGTGGCCCAATGGGGAAGTGGCAGGTGGGGCCCTGGGCTTGGAAGTCAAAGGCTATGTGGCTGGGTGAGGCTGAGCGAGCACCTTCCCTGCTCTCCCAGGAAGATTCTGGCCTTTGTTCATCGCTTATCACCAGTGCCCAACACATAATTTACACTAAATACACAATGTGCTTAGGAACTAACAATCCTATTTCTCCACCCATGACAGAGATCAGAACCCTGCCCTGCACAGGTGCTGTGTATTAAAAGAGGAAGCGGGGGGCTGGGTGCAGTGGCTCATGCCTGTAATCCCAGCATTTTGGGAGGCCAAGGCTGGAGGACTGCTTGAGCCCAGGCGTTCAAGACCCCAGCCTGGGCAATATACAGGAAGCCTGTCTCTACCAAATAATTTAAAAATTAGCCAGGTGTGGTGGTGGTGTGCCTGTGGTCCCATCTACTCAGGAGGCTGAGGAGGGAGGATCGCTTGAACTTGGGAGGTTGAGGCTACAGTGAGCCATGATTGTGCCACTGCACTCCAGCCTGAACAAAAGCAAGACCCTGTCTCAAAATCAACTAAAATAAATAAAATTAAAATTAAGAAAAATTAAATTAACAAAATAAAATAAGAAGCAGGTGTCCATCTGTGAACTGGCCCTGGTCTTGCCTCCCCCCAACCCAAGTAAACGGATCGGCCCAAAGTGGGAGGCCCAGGGAAGGGTCCCTCTCTCCAGGGCTTGGCATTTGCTTTCCCCACACTGGGATGAAGCTCCAGGGAACCCCCATACGCACACACATGCAGCAACCTGCCAGCCTCTGCTGCTCATCAGCACTCTCCTTTCATTGCCAAAAGCAGGCCGGGTGGGGGGTGGGGGGCAAGGAAGCCAGGGCAGAGCCACAGGGCCTTGCCCACTGTAACACACCAAGCTGGGGGCAGAGCCAGGGCAGGACCTGTGTGTGGACCCAGGGCAGGATGTCTCAGAACAATACCCTGCCAGAAACAGCCACACCCGGCGAGGCCAGGGGAGGTCAGTGTTCTGAGGGAGAAGAAACACTTCACGCAGCACACTCCCGAACCTTCTCCAGGTGAGAACTGGGCATGTCCAGGATAAACAATTAGTTTTTCATTTAAAGCCAATTCCTTATGGGCCTCCACTGCCATTATGCGGTTTGCTTCCAACTAACTAAAAGGAAGTCAGAAAATGCAATGAACCAAAAATCCACAAAAGACCAATTCAGGTTTCTAATACAGTATGCCTATCAATCACCTGTCCTGTGACTCACAGCCTAGGACACAATGACCACTCAATGCCCTCCTGCTCTGCGCCAGACACGACTCACTGACTCCTCCATCACCAGACCCTCCCCAAATGTTCTATTTGTTAACCTCATCTTCCAAATGGAAGCTCAGGAGGAGACGTCCCTGTGGTCACTGTGGGTAAAGGACAGGGCTGGAGGCTGGGCTTGGTGGCACATGCCTGTAATCCCAGCACTTTGGGAGGCTGAGGTGGGTGGATCACTTGAGCTCAAGAGTTTAAGACCAGCCTGGGCAACATGGGGAAACCCCATCTCTATCAAAAATACAAAATTTAGCTGGGCATAGTGGCATATGCCTGTGGTCCTAACTTGGGAGGCTGAGGTGGGAGGATCAATGGAGCCTGGGAAGTCAAGGCTGCAGTGAGCCATGACTGCACTACCGTACTCCAGCCTGAGTGACAGAGAACCTGTCTCAAAAAATAAATAAAAATTTTGGCAGGGTGCAGTGGCTCACGCCTGTAATCCCAGCACTTTGGGAGGCTAAGGTGGATGGATCACGAGGTCAGGAGATCGAGACCATCTGGCCAACATGGTGAAATCTGTCTCTACTAAAATATAAAAAAAAAAAAAAAATCAGAAATTAGCCGGGCATGGTGGCGTGTGCCTGTAGTTCCAGCTACTCAGGAACTACACTCAGGGAAATCACTTGAACCCAGGAGGCGGAGGTTGCAGTGAGCTGAGATCACGTGCCACTGTACTCCAGCCTGACGACAAAGCAAGGCTCCTCCACAAAAAGGAAAAAAAAAGTTTTTTTTAAAGGATAGGGAAGGATAGGAACCCAGATCTGTGTGTCCCTGGAACCTGTGCTACTATGAGTTATTTAATGAAGTGTAAAAATGAGGACACTTCAGCTGGCTTCAAGAGCAAGGCTGGGCTGGGCACCCAGGCTCCCCCAGCCCCTGCTCTGCCCTGTGCCGTGCTCCACCCCAACCCTGGTTTCCAAATCAGAGTCCAGTTGATGAAGCCAATGATAAGCAGTGGGAATTTCTGGCGTTCCTTCTCGCTGGGCTGCCTGGCTCTGTGCCTGGGGAGCCGCCTCGGTTTCTGCCCTAGAACAAGGAAGGTCCATTCCTGCATTTGAACCAGACAGACTGGTTTCTCTTGGTCCCTGAGACCCCCGACCAGTTCCCCTAGAGAGACCCTG